GGAAGGTTGCTAATTTTTTTTGCGTCCGTGGAGGATAAAAAGGGGTGAGTTTGATTATAATAGGATTTTTTTATGTGTTTGAAATGCCGGGTTGTATGTGTGGTTACTTTTAATACTAGTTATTGCTGTCTGTTACTGTCTATTACCAGTTATGTATGTTTCTCTTCCTCATATTTATTTTGGTGTTATACTCTATCAGGTTTCATTTCAAGTTTGAGTTTTAAGGTGACTAGCCTATATTCCATGAATCTCTTCTTTTTGAATCTAATACTCAATGAGGAGAAGGCCAGTGATAGTCCAATACAAATAGGGTGTCAAGTTATTGCCTTAGCTTCTAGTGTAGCGTGCTCCAGCAGAGACCAACAAACCTTGACCGTGCATGTACTGCTCAGACAGAGCCTGCATTGCTTGTTTAAAATGTGCGGAGGAAGTTTATTGGCATTTGCCAGGGAGCCAGTCGACGGTTGTGATGATCCAGATGATGTATGGTATACTTACCTTTTGTAGATGTGTTATTTTGAAATGTAAATGTTTGGAAGTCCCCTGCAATGGCTTTCAAAATGGACATTTCACTTACAGTTCGAATACGTAGGCTTTATCCAAATCAACCTGTGATCTACAATGTTCAGTGATAGAAAGCCTGCAATCATGATTTTAATAATTATTTGCAAAGTGACTTAAGACCCTATTACTCGAACCAAAAACCTTAGGAGCTACTCCTAGGAATCTACGAACAGTGTCATACAAACTCAAAACCCTCTTGACCCAAGGGCTTAACCCCCAGATGCCAACCCGATTGCCGTGGACTTAGTATCCGCACGGCATTTATCGCAACCTATTTCCTTAATTTTGAGTGTTGATTGTGTTAGTTATTTCATATATTATTGAGTATATATATATATTTTTTCCTCTCAATGAAAATATCTGTAGATTAACCCTGTTTAAGTGACATCATTTTGTAAATATAATCCGGTAATTTTTCTAATAGAGTGTCAAGCAAAGCTCACAAACTCTGTGCTTCCGGCTCTTGGCCAAAGTCACGCAAACCTTCACCACATAGATTAAGGCAAGACAGAGCTTGGCTACTTCCCAATTTAACAGATAAATGTGAATTCGACCAACTTCTGTTAAGCTAGAATATATGTGTTGGAGATTCGTTTAGCTAGCGTATGCTCAAAGCTTGATGCCGCAAACTCTGGAAAGGGGTTGTGGGTGTGTCCTTACAGATTTTATTGATACTGATATTGGTATTAATGTTGTTTTTGTTATTGTTATTATTATTATCATTATCATTATCATCATTATTATTATAATTATTATTATTATTATTATAATATTATGTTATTATTGTTATTGGTGTTATTAGCATTGTTATTATTACTGCTATTATTAATGTTATTAATATTACTTTTTTTATTGATAATATTAGGAATGATAATATTTTTGTTATTATCATTATTATTATTATTGTTATTATTATAATTATCATTATTATTATATTATCCTTTTTTTTTCTTTATTGTAAATAATGATTAGATGAATATTTAATAAAAAAAAAACAGCTTACTGTTCAGCCAGGCAAGTAATTGATGAGTAAAAAGAATATTTATTTTAGAAACACTTTATTAGTAGTGTCGAAAATTTGCATTTGGATTTTTTTTTTTCAACTTTCTATTTTATGTCAAGAGTTATAATGTTTAAGGTTTAGTTTTTGGATTCTTTTTTTTTGTGTGTGTTTTACAATGTTGAAGATTTGAAATATTCAAAGAAATTCATTTTAAGAATTAGGTACAACTTCATTATGTTACAAGATATATGCAGCAATTAAAGTTATTTTGATAATTGTATCTAATATCAAGGTAAAAGAGAGAATGAAAACCAGTGTATTTCACACAGTAAACATCAAAATAGATATAAAACCAGGAAAGAAAGAAAAAATCTGGATGGAAGAAAATAATTACGTTAAGAAGTTAGAATCGGATTGATTGTTAAAACTTGGAAATAATGACAGAATTATTCTTCATGTTTTTTTTACTTTCACTCACTCACTCACTCACTCACTCACTCACTCACTCACTCACTCACTCACTCACTCACTCACTCACTCACTCACTCACTCACTCACTCACTCACTCACTCACTCACTCACTCACTCACTCACTCACTCACTCACTTACTCACTTACTCTCACACGTTTATTCATTCATTTGTCAATCATTCACTCACTCACTCACTCACTCACTCACTCACTCACTCACTCACTCACTCACTCACTCACTCACTCACTCACTCACTCACTCACTCACTTCACTCACTCACTCACTCACTCACTCACTCACTCACTCACTCACTCACTCACTCACTCACACACACACACACACACACACACACACACACACACACACACACACACACACACACCACACACAACACACACACACACACACACACACACTCAAACACACTCAAGCACATCTTTAAAAGTATGTAAATATATGTATGCATTGTAATAGTATTTCTTATTTTCAGCACAATGGGTAAAAAACGCAATGCCAAAAAGTCGGGAAGCAAAGTCACCGGCCCCGTGAAGCTCTTACCCCAGACCAGAACAGAGCTGAGTGCCTTAGTAGACGAGGTGTTCAAACGTGAGTGTATTTTGCAGTTTTTTTTTTTAAATTGTGATGATAGCTAGCCGTAAGATAGTAAGGCTTATTGTTGCATTTTAATTTCTTATCGTTAAAGTTACTATTGGATTTTGTTTATTCTTTTCTTTTCTTTGACTCTTTTAAAGGATTTTATAGTATGTTTTCTTTTCTCCAGGGTGTACCAAAGTACCGTCGGCAACGGCACCAAACGCAGCTCAGGAATGGACAGAATACACAGAAATCTTCCAGCTAATTCAGAACATAAGAAATTTAGAGAAAGGTGTGCCATTGCTTATATTTTCCATGTATTTTGTGTATTTTTAAGTCACATTATACGTGTATTTGACTTGGGGTTTGCTTTACACGTTCATTTTGCATATATTTTACTTTTTCTGCTGTTTCTACTTTTTTTTTCTTCTTCTTCATCCCCTTCTTCTCCTTCTGCTTCTTAATTTCTTCTACTGCTTCTGCTTCATCTTGAGCTGATAGTCAATTCATCATATACAAAATGAACAACAGTGTAACCATTTCTGGACATCTCTGCTGCTAATAATACAAATATCAGTTTTTTCAAACAGTATGACACCCTCTTCAAAGAACCAGTACCTTCACACTTTTTATATAGTGACTCCCATGTTAGCATCATGACAGTAAGCTAGCATTTCCTATAGTTACACCAGGTGTTTTTTGGGTGACTTCCCACCTGAGGCATCATGACAGTAAGCCAGAATTTCTTATAGTTACACCAAGTGTTTTATGGGTGACTTGCCACCTTAGGCCAGTGTACAGGCTAAGGAAGGATGCAGGTCCAAGAACACTAATAATTGTCGCCAAAATTTGTGTCTCCCACTAAGGGTATTGGGCCATCAGCATATACACTGACGTCCTTTTTAGAGGAATGCATAGTCGAAGAGTTAATGCCATTTGATTTTTGTTGTTCTGAGTTTTGATAAGCTTTTCTGGATTTCCTTTCATGTCTTTAGAGTTTACCAATACTTGTAAAACTTCATATTCCTTACATTTCCAGAAAATTACATTGTGATTGCCGAACATCATCGAAGGGTGTGAGTCAGTGTCGCAATCTTTTATGTGTGAAAACAGCTACAATTTCCTATTTCTCCTGAAAGTTCTCATTTTCCCTTTGTTGTTGTTTGTTTATTACCATTTTTTTTCTTCATGACAGATGTCCTGCTTCCAGCATACTCGCGTGAAGAACAAATACCAACCTTCATGTCGTGGCTCAAGGAGAAAGGTGTGAAGGTTAGTTTAGTCTCCGTTTTTTTATCTTGGTAGGAAGGTGTGAGGGCTCAAGAATAAAGAAACTGCCATTAGATGTTTTTAAAATTTTCCAATTCTTCGTAGTCTTCCTTTGAAAGCTATCTTTTTATTCGAATATCCTGTTCCATTATTTAAAAGTGTGAAAATGTCAGATTAACTTTTAAACTAGTTTTATTTTTCTTATTCTGACAATGTGTGCCCTTTCCATCTTTGTCATCTCTTTTCCTTACATTCTTCTCTCTTTTATCTCATTTGGTTCCTTGCATTATCTTTATGCCTCGTTCTATTCTCTTCAACTCTTCTCATCTCATCCTCTTTTTCCCTTCCCTTCCTCTCCTCTTGTTTTCACTTCTCTTTTCATTTCATCTCCCCTCATATCATCTCACTTTTGATACTTTTTTTTTCTCTTTCATCCTGCCTCTCTCTCCCTCATTATCTAGCTTTCACCCCTTCATTTTCTCTCTCTCTCCATATCATTCTCTCACTTTCTCCATTTTATGTCTGCTTTCTCTATCTTATTCCCCTTTCCCTCTTATCTCATTTTGAAGTATTACATTTATGTCAGCTTTCGCTTCATTACTTAAATCTATTCAAGATCAGTGGAGTGGAGATCGGCGACTTTGGCATGCAGGGCTTTGGGTTGAAGACCACTGAGGATCTTCAGCAGGGAGTTGAGGTGATCAACGTGCCTCTGGAAGCGATGATGACAGAGGACACCGCAAGAAAGTCCTACCTTGGTAAGTTCTTTAGGGGGGATTCCATTGTCCCATAGATACAGTGGTAAATATTGAACAGAAAAAAGATGCATGAGGCTGAAATCAATTTTATGGGAAAAAAGACCTCCCCTGCATCCCCCAGTAAATTTGAGTATGTGAGTGAGTGAGTCAGGGGGTTAGTGAGTGAGTGTGTGAGTTAATGGGTGGGTGGGTGGCTGGGTGAGTGTGAGTGTGTGAGTTATATCTTGGTAAATTCTTTCTGAGGAATACTACTGTCCTGCAGATACAGTGGCAAATACTGAAAAGCATATGAAAGACATATGGTAGTGATTCACAAGTCAAGATGTTTAATGAACACCAAAGGTATATGGTCTTGCTTTATGTAATTACTCTTTTGATAGCTATAATGTGAAATGGCTTATTAATAATGTGTACTCCAACTAACAAGCATTGCATCGTTGTGTATTATTTTCACTTATAAATCTACCTACAGGTCCCTTGATAGAACGTGACCCCATCTTGCAACACATGGGAAATGTTTCGTTAGCACTGCACGTTCTTGGGGAGTATGTAAACCCACAGTCACCCTGGCAGCCATACTTGCGCATCCTTCCAGCCTCGTATTCAACCACATTGTACTTCTCTCAGGAAGAGGTCCTCGGCCTGAAGGGCTCACCAGCACTAGGTGAGGGCTGATGATGATCATTTATGCTATATGATGGTCACGTGTGTATTTCGAATTTGTCGAGGAGATTGATGTAATGATATAAAGGCCATGCTAGAAATACTTGAATGCTATATAACTATTTAACTTTTTTAGATTTCTGTCATTTGGAGGGCATGCGTTTGGTACTATTTCATGCATTCCTAGGATTTGCAGAACTCATGTTCATTTTCTTTTGTTTCTGAAGTCCTCATACTTTTTCTTCGGCTTCTAAAGTATTCACATTATTTCTGTCATTTTTATAGCTCTCGTGCTTTTTTTCATGCCTTTATTTATTTCTATTGCATGTTTTTGTCATTTCTATATTATTAAGAATATGACTGTAAGGAAACAGTTACCCAAATGCAATACTTAACTTTCCATTACCAAGCAAAATAACCCTTTGCAGAAGAAGCAGTCAGACAGTTCCGGAACATTGCGCGCCAGTACTCGTACTTCTATCGAATACTCCATTCATTACCAGAGGCGAGAAGTTGGCCGATCAAAGATTACTTCACCTTCGATGCTTACAGGTGAGTGTCGCTCTTAGGTGATTTTAGCTCCAGAGAAGATAGTATTTGGTGGAATGAGAGATTATTGGTGTTATTAAAAGCTTTATTTTGGTGGAATGAAATTTTTTTAGTGTTATTAGAAGTTTTATTTTGGTGGAATGAAAAATTATTAGTGTTATTAGAAGCTTTATTTTGGTGAAATAAAAAAATTAGTTATTAAAAGCTTTATTTTGGTGGAATGAAAAATCATCAGTGTTATTAAAAGCTTTATTTTGGTGGAATGAAAAATTATTAGTCTTTTTAAAAGCTCTATTTTGGTGGAATGAAAAATATAATGTTATTAAAAGTTTTATTTTGGTGGAGTGAAGGTGTTTGTATGTAGTTTTGCTTGATAATAGGAAAAATATATAATGTGATGCCAGGATAATTTGATGACTCTTTTAGGTATGACCAATTAGCACTCTTGGCAACATGAAAAAGGCAAATGTATATTATACAATCAAATCTGTATTGATATTTATAGACTTAATAGTGTGGTATAGTTTCAAGTTTGATGTTTTTACAGTAATTCCTTTCCCTAAACAAGGTGTCGTATGTGCAGAATTTATGGTAAATGTAAATGAAATAACAAAGAACAAGGAAGCACCAAACAATGGTATTTTGTAATTGAGCCATAAGGGGATTTTCTGGGGCAGTATCTACCTTGCTCCCCATAATGCTGCTTTCTTGTTCCAGATGGGCAGTTTCGACAATCATGACGCGCCAGAACAGGGTCCCGACCAAAGGGGCTAGTGGCCAGCTGGCTCTCATCCCGGCCTGGGACATGTGCAATCATGAACAGGGAATTGTATGTGCAATGTTGTCTTT